AGCTTCAGATCTGAGCAGAAGGGATATATGGGAGTATGGGAGTATTCAAGCCCCCCCCCCACTGCGTTCCTCATGTATTCTACACTACTCCAACGGATTGAGGGCTTAGTGAAGACGACAAGGAATAACCAACTTCACGCTCATTTTTCCAATACTGGGGTCCGTGCTGCCTTGATTGATGCCTAAAGGACTTGCGCTCTACCTTGACCAGGCTGTCGCGACGAGCGTTCACTCCACGGGGCACGACGATGGAAAGAAGTTGTGGGGTGAAGGCCGCCGTAACTTCCGAGAAGAGCACAAGGATACTGCGCTTGTTAACCTCACCTTGCCACGGTGCTGGCGGTCCTCTTCCTTGTGAGTTGCCACTTGGTGTTATCTGCCCCTCTGCGATCCAGTTACAGCGACCCTCGTGGCCCTACACTTAAACACGAGACTGCGCTATCCCCATAACACTGCGCTCAGAGATCAAAATTAAGAAAGGCTAATATTAGCAATCATGTCATCGTTAAGGTTGGACTTGTCAGATATATTGTGCGCGTAAAAGAGAAAGAAGCCGAGAAAGAATGTTGTCCGTCATGATCGAAATAAATATGAAAGAGATGGACTTCCCCGCTAAACATAAACAAAACATAAAATGAATAAGTGGCTTTATGCCTAATAACACAGTGAAAGGTGAGCTTGACCAAAAATCCTACGGGATGGGTCCACCTCACTAGGGGTCGACAATGCGCGTTAACCCTCCTGCTCATGCGTAGTGGTGTTGGCCGGGGGGCGTTCGGCACGTCCGGTCGCCACTCGCAACGAAGCAGGAGCTCCCACTCCATTTATCCGTCGACGACCGGAATTCCACCTTCCACGGGCTGCGCACCAGAGGCTGTCCGGGGAATGGACAGCTGCGCAGAGGGACAACCGGGTTACGGTCACCATCAAAATTATGAACCTCACCCGTGGTCATTTGGAATATTCCTCCTCAGCTTGCCGGTCCTTGATAGAAACTGCGCATATCATGTGATCGTTCAATTCCGCAGAGAAGTTACCAGGAATAACTGACGTCGGGACTGCGGACGAATAGTTTAGGGTTAGCGAGGGAATGTCGACGATGAAGTATGGAACCATGCAGAGTTCCAGCCGAAACATGCGCGTGTATAAGTCGAGACTGACTGACGAGATATCCACTTTTAGGCCATTCAATCACTTCCGCCGATACGCAGGCAAAGGGCTGCGGTGTTGTTGCGCGGTGGGACGCAGTGCGAAACTCTGACAACCGTCCAATATTCGTTGGAGAGACTTTGCGCGTGTGATGTAGTGCCACGGCCGCAATGGAAGACAGTGCGCGAAGAGGTCGTACGAAAGTCACGACACGGGCAGTCGTGTCGTCATCGTCATTCATCACGCTTTTTCGGAGGTTCACGTCACCGCCTATGCAGAACAATTCCGGAAGATTAGTCCCAACAGCGAAAAAAGATAAGGAAATAAGGGAGGGATCTGTTGCTTGTACCAAGTATCCGATGAAGTGTGGGCGGGAGACTTCATGTAATAACCCCTCATCAAGGAATGTTTCAAAAGAAAGCAATTATATGCCCGTTGTGCCCGAAGAATCCACTAGATCAAATTGCTCTGGGGTGAATGGAGACGTTCGCGGCGTTTGTTCGAGCAATCGATGATCAACGGGGCAAAAGGTGATGCAGGTCATAGAGTTTATGCTTGAAGCGAACTTTCGTCCCTGGTATAAACTTATCAAATTGAACAACACTCATCCCCTAACTCATTTATAGGAACAGAGCGGAGTGATCAGAAATTTGGAAATTTAGGAAATGAAAGAGGTCGGCAATACGATTCATTCCAATCCAATGGCTGTATATCATAAAAATGTATTGTGGTGCTATGCTTACGGATTGACCGCTGTAAAGGAGGACAACGGAGGTGCGTAGGTTATGAGACTGGCACTTGCATTCCTTAGGCACACCTGATGCGTGTATCGCAACTAAGCACCTTTTTAATCTGTTCTACCTTTGCTGCATCTGCTTTTGGCATACTTAGTTTTTATTTAATATTTGAGCGCTACCAAATTTAACTGGATAGGTCAGCAACCATATAAATCGCTGAAGCAAACACATAAAGTAGGCAACGCATTATTGCGATATTGTACACTAATATTCCTAAAAAGACGCGATGTGTACTGATTCCCCTGCTGGAAACATTCTGTGATTTCAGTATAATTATCCAATCAATCGCTCAAAGACGGATAAGGCAAGGGATAAGTTACTCCTTAAGCGAGATACAGAAGGAATTGAAAGCTGAAATTTCGGAATTTAGGTATTGACTACACTTAACAGTTCATTCCTACACCTAACAGTTCAGTTTTCAACTCGCCTGTAAATGTACTCGGAAACTTGGACGGCTTCCTAAGCAGCTGTGTAGTCTGATGTGAGCGCTTTTTAGGCTTTTTCATATTTAAAAAGTTAGCTACCATAAAAACGAAACGAAACAAACAGAAAGACCATTAGAAATAACTAGAAACAGCGACCATTTCTCATTGAGTTAACAAAGCACCAGCCCATCAAAGAAGAACTGTGTTGGAAAGATAAAAGATGCGATGAAAATCTTGTTCTTTCAGTATTAAAGGCACAGTTAACGATAATGGTTACTGTGTTCTGCCCTTAGGAATACCCAGTGGCCACCAAGGGTAATAGCAAGGACCCTCTCGCGCTCAGAAAGTCGGCGGTTAGGGCACGGTGGGAGCTCCGTTCCCGGCTCGTGCGGCCTTCCCGCCCCTCGACCCATGTCACATCAGACGAGTGTCGAGGCGATACAGATTGCAAGTATTCGCGCCCGCCTCATCACACAGCTGATCGCTGAGTGATGAGGCGATGTTTTTCTAACATTCTTTTATTCTTTGTTCTTTTCTTTTGAATGAACAGATAGACAAGCCGAGAAACCGGCACACCAAGTTGGTTCCGGTGTGCCGGTAACTTTAGCTGCTCAGGAAGCCACTAACAGTTTCGAATACGTTCTCTGGCGGGTTGAAAACTGATGATAGGTATAAGGAATACCTAACATTCGCATATGGGAGGCGGCACATAATGGAGAGTAATGACTATATAAAGTTAAGTTTAAAGTTTCTGGCGTTAATCAATCCCGTCTGAGGGATGCGCCCCCGCACTCGACTTCCATTCAGAATCGTAGTGGCGTAATGAGTGCGTATGTGGCCTATACAATGACTTGCGGTGGCCAGCCGATGTACAAGTCAGTGATTTTATCCTCCCAGACGAGTCTGGTACCAATTTACCGATCCCGGAGGGATGGAAGGCTTGGTTGGCCTAGGCGGGCATCGATCCGAGATTCGAACCCCTGACCGTGCGTGTGATATGGTGCGCCACATGCCACTACACCACCTCCGCCCTTATGACTATATATCAATGCAAAAATGATCATCCTTCGACACCAAAATTTAGAAGTGGATTAAGCGTCAGTCGCGTTAACAAGTACCCAGTGAAAGCTTGAGCATGAGACATTCTTGCTGTGGACAGTCTTGCATAATATGAACGCAGGAAAAAGACTCACGGAGCCTTCATTACCAGATTTGCTGTGCCTGTTTGAAATGATTTCAATTGGACCATCTTTTTCGAAGAAGCAGAACGAAATCAGAGGAGGTCGATTTTTTAATATTTTCGGCAGAATGTTCAGCACGCGATAATAATGTTACGAGAGCTGCAGGGATTGGAAACAACTGCCCTCGAAATCAGTATGCGCCAGAAATCAAGGAGATCTCCCTCACTCTAATGGGAAGCTCTGAAATCATAAGTAAGATCTTCATTTACTTTCTGTGTCCTAAATGACGGATATTCTGTGCCACTTGAAGTCGTTTTCGATTTTGATTGAATTTTGTAGCGAAGCAAGTGTGTACTGTTTGTTTTCTTCTATAAGAGGGTGTACCGTTGGTTCATAAAGATTCTTTCAGCAATACAGCGAAAGTAGAATAAAGAACAGCCAAATGCGGAAAACCTGTCTTACTGAAAATGGTCTTAAGCTCCAACAACTGATGTGTTAACATGTCAGTATATAGCTTACTTATACTTATACGGCTCATCTTCACTCATGTACGAGCGCCAGCAACAAACCATTCGCTTCTGTGTTTCGCGGTCGCCATATAAGGTAGATTTAGAAATCGACGAAGATGGCGTTGTAAGGAGTCGTTCAGCTGCTTTCGCAGGTGTTTTACGTGATCGATAAGCTCGTCTCCGCATCTCGCAGCAGACCTACCTTAGATCGTGAAGATCCTAGGGGAGCACACTCAATTGTTCTTCTTGTACATATTTCATCATATGTCCGACCCGCAACATAGTGCAGGAAGAATTGTGGAATCGAACAGATTAGCGCGAAGTTCCGGGTCAGCCAGATGGTTAGTGACCTCTATCAGAAAGACCTCTGAGAGAGGTCCGAAGGCTACCCACACTGTTTTCTGCCGCCTCACCAGTTCTTCCCTCATGTCGTTGTCCATACTCATGAACGTCCGAGATAAACGTAGGACGAGGTCTCCTTGATGGGTGTACCATCGGTCTTAATTTGAGCGTCGTCAGCCCAAGCTGCTTGAAAACAAAACGATGTTGTCCGCCGAGCGGAGCTTTGAGAGGAACCGTCCATCCGAACCGTCCATACACACATGCGACTAATATACTGACTAATATTTCAGTATATAAAACGCATGTTTCATAAGATTTGAGATATTAGGTAACCATTTTGTGTAACTGCCTTGCAGTTTGCAACTTCATCCTAGTATTTAAAAGCAGCACCCTCTTTTTCTCTTCTTGATTTTTCTGAAATAGAATAGCTGCATTTAGCGAATCTTATGTTTACAATAATATCCCGTGGCTTCAAAGGTCCTTCTTCTCTTCCTGAATTTATGCTGGAGACATTCCACCTCGAAGACCGTTCATGTTGTTATCCACCTACCTTGAAGCGTTCGTTTAATCTTGTGGCGATCGATTTTGTCAGTGGTGTGTACAACTGATTGTGCCACCCCAAGTTGTGCTACGTGCTCCACAGGAAGAAGAAGCGTTGGATAATGCAAACAATACCTGGCTAATTCAAGATTTTTCTGGTCAGTAAACCAGAACGCCCTCGTTGAATGCTGATCAAACTGTGCTTTCAGTATGCCACATATGGCGGTATACATATCGTCTTGAATGGCCACTGCGACCAAGTATCCTTCCCTTGTTAGTGATTTTGGAATTTGCAGTGCTTCGATACCGTTACTATGTCAGGCTAGGTCGAAGTCTGCTCCACTCGATTCTTTCTATTCAGCAGTATGTTTTGTCCGACGGCTCACTCCTCGCCACTCAACCATCAGCACACAGTCACGTTCCACGAGGGAAGTTGGCACACCCATGTGCCAATGTTCTGACCTTACTTACGTCTCTTCAATGGAAATAGAACACCTCGGCCAACTAGTACGGCTACTGGTCGTCAGAGAAAGTCCGCTATGCTGTCTACATCACAGCTTTTGAGGATTGGTCTACGCCAATGATTTCACTCTCGCCCTTACTCTAGAATCTCACAATCGGCAATTGCGGCTGGTGGCTTATTTGCTTTTTATACGTTACCATTCACTTCGGCCGGCTGACGCCGGGCTCTCTCTCTCTTGACCGGCGGCTGACGCCGGGCTCTCTTTCTTTATCGAAAGCTCCAAATACTAGGCGGGTTTCAGGCAAGGGGTAATGACCCTTGCCTGAACCCCTTTCATTATTTGTGAGAAGCCATAGAGATTGAGTCTTCCAAGTCCCGAGCAGTCAGAAATGTTGACAGTCTTTGAAACAATAATCTTGTTAGATCCAAATAAAAAGAGGTGCAGATTGCTTGGAAAACTCTTCGATGAGTCAAGACACAATATGTAAGACTTTCATGGCAGACTATTCTGGATTCCCTAAGAATTCGACGAAGAGTGTGAATGTCAAGTGAGCGCGAAGGGGAAATATGTAGTAATGAAATGGGAAGTCAACCTATACTGTTCATATCGGACCTCAAACAAGTCGTAGGTAAGCGGTAGTGGGCATGGGTGCACGCATTAGCGTGCGTAGCCCAACTGACACTTTATGCTGATCACTTACGAAATATCAGCGCCACATGCTTTAAAAAGAGACTTCAAATTCCGGCATTGAGGAATTGACCATTTGGTTCCTTTTTTGAATGGCTAAGGCGGAAAGGCAGAAAAAACACTGCAACCAATGGTGAATAACGCATTGTGAAGGCAATATTCAGTACCACTGGGAAGGAAGAACGATGCGTTCGTGGCTGAAACTTTGATACCTCTCAATCTTTTGAAGAAAATCATTGAGCACCTGCCGACTCTAGCTATGAGAGTTCAACTAACCATCCCCTCATCCTACTTCAACATCGAACGACTGATAAATCTCAATCTGTACGTTTCATTTTTCTGTGTTCAAATTTATATAGACATTTTTCTGTTCACTTGCAGAGAGCAACTTCCAACAAAACCTAGTGCTCAGAAGATATTGACGATTATATTGAACGGCGGAAAGCCTCCCGGTCACGATTGGGTAATTACGGTAGCTGAAGGGTCTCCCAGAGAATTCTTCGTCCATCGGAAAGTTCTTGAAGATGCAAGTCCAACTCTGAAAGTGCGCCTTTTTGCCTCTTCTCGGATTTTATTTAGCCCATTTACGAATGAATTGAGAGAATGAAGAAACCGGGGAGCGAAGAGCACTATTAGGATATTTCTTCTTCTCAGAACTACTTCTTTTGATGATTTCGTAATACATTGAGAGCTGTGAGGACCACATCGATTGCGTCCATGTTCTAGGCGGTAGATAAAAAAATCTAAGCTTGGCAAGGAAGTTGTTCCACAAAAAAAATTGATAGGGTAACAATTTTGCAGGATGTTAATCCAAACTTGATGGCAAAGTTAAAAACCTGCTGAAACATTCGTAGAGCAATCAACACCCCAGTTAAGAGAAGCACGCATGTGGGCTCGTCAATGACTAGACAATTCCGAATTCGTACCGCCGCCATGCACCAGGGGTGGCACCAAGGGAAAAGCGGGGTTGTAGCAACTGATTACGTAGGCGAAAATATTTTCTGAGGATCTTGTCCGCTGTTCTATGGTCAAATTGGTTTGACCGCTACCTTGCAGGAAAAAACTGACTTTTAGACAACGCAAAAATTTCGGTTCAATTGGTGGGGGATGGGAAGGNGGGGGGGGGGGGGGGGGGGGGGGGAAATACGGTATTCGTGCGATTCGACTGTGCGCGGCGGAATTCATAGCGATTTCGACGACTTTAACGCTCCTAAACGCTAATTTACGTCGTTCTGTTCTGTGTGAAGTCGTATTTCACGAGAACGTTGCAAACAGGTTGTCATACACACGCACACATCGCTGCCTTCCGAGCAACTACTAATGGTTTCCCATGAAGATCGTTGCATTTTGACGGCAACTCATGCATCCGATATGAAAACGGTGAAGATTTTATGGAGCGTGAATTTTTTTCTTTATTGTGTATCAATGGAGACTTGCAGATTTTGACATATTTCTACCTCCGTCAATATGAGATTCCTTCATATGATACATTCGCTCGTGTGGGAAGGACGCTGTGTTTACTGTTTCCACAGGAGGTTATCTTAGGGTTTTTCGAACACTGGGAAGTTGCTATTGCTCGCGATCTCCTCCAGGCGGATGTAAGTTTTCGCTAAGTTGAGTCCATAGGAAAATTTGTAATTCGTAAGATGTAATTTTTGAATCGAATCTTTTTTTCGAGCTAGTCATATCGTCTCTCACAAGTCCACAGGGGGTGGGGAAACTAATCATAAATGTTTAGCGAAAAATTTATAGTTCTAGTTTCCGTAGATCTGGAGCATTTTGATTTGTTAGGGGTACATTCAATAGTACGGAAACGCTCACGGCTGGTAGTGGGACCCCACTTTGCTCCCGAGAGGTGGGGTGTGCGCAACATTTTGCGCTTGAAGGAAAATTCTTAGCTACTGTTCCCTAAAGCCTAAGGTGTTTAAATTCGGTAGGTACAGGAAGCAGAACGAGAACATTCATGGGAGGTAACGCGAGTTGACTTTGCCTGTAGGAAGCGGGACGTAGATGAAAATTGCTAATTTTGACCTGAAACGTTTAAATTTGGTACGAGTACGAGCAGCAGGTTTAAGGCACCGATGGTATGTAATGCAGGGTGCGCCATGAATATGGTAACAAAATGAGTGTCGTGCAGAAAAATCCTTCCATATTGATACATAGTGAATTTATGGGAACTGTTTGCTATGCGCCCCCCACTCGACATCCATTCAGAATCGTAGTGGCGTAATGAGTGCGTATATGGCCTCTACAAAGACTTTCGGTGGACAGCCGATGTACAAATCAATGTTTTTATCCTCTCAGACGAGTCTGGTACCAATTAGCTGACCCCAGAGGGATGGAAGGCGTGATTGGCCTAGGAGAGCATCGATCCGAGATTCGAACCACTGACCGTGCGTGTGAGATAGTGCGCCACTTGCCACTACACCAACTCCGCCATTTATAAGAGGGCGTTGGTAGCGTAGTGGCAAGTGGCGCACTTAACACACGCATGGTCGCGGGTTTGAATCCCCGATCGATTTTTGGTCTAAGCCAACCAAGCCTTCCAACCTAACATGTAGTGTTCATTGTTGGCTAATTGTTGTTGTGTTTATTGTTGCTCAGTCACATCAGCAAGAGAATTGTTTCTGTAAGATAGATGCGGGGGAAGTAAGAACGGCAAGTATAAAACCTTGTTTAAATACTTCACTTGATTGTCAATCAGATCAGTCCAGGCGAGCGCTGAGGCCTGTGCAACGTGCTTCAAAGAAATCAGCATAGTGATAGTTAGAATTGTATGGGAGAACTCGAACTCTCATACGTATACAACGGAAGCTTGGCTGAGAAGGAATTGAGTTGCGACTCCGGATTTTCAGAAACACAACACATGCGCAACATTACGTTCATGTGCACAACATCTGATATCAATCTTCTCAGCTCCTTATGGCGCGATGCCAGTTGCGAAGAGAATTGCCGTTGCTGTAATGGCTGACACCGTGAGGCACTAAACCTCGTGAATGTCGACATTCTGTTTTTATGAAAAAGAAAGTGAGAGCTTTACAGTGGCAAATGGCTGAAGCTCACGGTGTGAATGTTGAAGAACAAATCAGAAATATGCGGGACCTCCCCATGGGATTCATGGATAAGGTCCTCTCCGCCTTCGTATATTATCGTTTTAGTTTGCCTTATGCGCTTCTTCGAATTATTTTGTTTAGATTTTATACAGCGTCGAAAAATTCCGCACTGTCGTTTCTGGAGTTCGCAAGAGGAGCTTATAAAAAAAGATTTTGGAGCCTTGGTCATTAATTGTCATTTTCGATAAACTGTTCGTTTCATTAGTAAGGTCCAAAACATCACAAATTGACAGTATCCTCCAGCTACACAGAAAACAACAAATAAGCTCCTCGGCCCTGAAACAATTACCCCTGATGGCGGCAATGGGTTGCAGAGCTACTCTCGCAGTGGTGAGTAAAAGCAATTCATGGAAATTTATGTAGTGTAATTTACAGGGCAGTACATTTGTATCCACATGTACATGGACCCTGGAGCGCTCGAGAATCGCAATGTTCTCGATTAGACTCCAACCTGTCCGATAAATTGCGCCATGCATAGAAGGACAGAAGTCAATATAGAGTTCGGCAGGCAGCAGTAGATTTGAAGAAATTGGACATTAAAGTGAAAGAAAATGTCACGACCATCCCTGGAGTTTTGAAGACAAATGACATTTTATAACAAATGGTTTCTACAATTATGGTATTAGGCCAGGACTGAAGCACTAGCCCGACACTGCTTCCTGAAACACCTCACAGTCCTTCCAGCAATACGGCACTCCGCCCCGGAACCATTTCCAGATCCCTTTGACTCCTCCGTATGTTTCCTGACTAGAATAAGACCTTTCGGATACGTAATCCTAGTTTAGAGTACTAGTAAGCAGGACTCAAAAAAACCAGTAAAGAAATGGAGGACAGTTCCTGCGTGCAACATGCGAAAAGTTCAAGAAAAAACGTTAAGGCACTACCCGCACTAACCTGCATATTTTGGAATATACTGTAGCATGTTGCAGCACACAATGTTGGCAAACGTGCACATGGTTTCCATTTTCGCCATGTACGGCTATCTTTAAACCTCGGCATAGTGCAAACTTTGGTTTTCATTGCTTGAACTCGGACTTGATAAGGAAACTTTATTCCGGCTTACGTTTCGGCGTGGATCGCCTTCTTCAGAGC